CAAGAATGATATACTAACTAAGCTAGACACAATGATTAATTCACGTCCTGTAGAATATTGGAATTTAATAAATGAACTAAAGGGAGGACAAGAATATAAGTTATTGATAACATTAATGCTGAAAAGTGATATGAACATTTCAAGATCCTCAATACAGATGAAACCCCTTTTGACAACAACCTAAAAATAGAAACTGACAGCCTAAAAATTACACCTATTAACATTCTGGACCAAAATATCTCTCAATTAGAAAATCAAACTGCAATCAGTGTTTCAAAGAATAGAAAATCTCCTGATGAAGATAGCATAACAAACAAAATGATTAAAACTGGTAGAAATGTCCTGATAAAGCCTCTACAAAAACTGTTTAACCACATCCTCAATAGTGGTCACTTTCCTAGTGCCTGGAATATGGGAATTATCACGCCAATCTTTAAAAAGGGGGAGCTAGCTGACCCAAGAAATTATCGAGGAATTACACTTCTAAATAGTCTGAGTAAACTCTTCACCTCTGTACTAAAATAGAGACTTACTAGGCATTTCAATAAAAATAACATCATAATGAAAGAACAGATTTACTTCATGCCAAAATTCAGAACAGCTGATCATATCTTTGTACTTAAACAGTTACTGAGTAAATATTTAAAAAGTAAAAAGCGAATCTTTGCATGTTTCATTGACTTTAAAAGGGCTTCAGATTCAATCTGGCACCAAGGCTTACTTTACAAATCCCGTAAAAACAACATCTCTGGTAAATTCTACAATATCATGGAAACAATCTATCAAAACTCTCTTGGTTGTGTCAAAACAAAAACAGGGCTTACACCCTCTTTCCCAGTAAACAGAGGGATTAGACAGGGAGATAACCTGAGCCCACTTTTATTCAATTTATATGTTAATGACATCAAATACAACATTGAATCCTCACAAAATAACCCACCAACTCTTTTAACTAACCAGCTATATTGTTTACTGTATGCAGATGACCTATTACTACTTGCAGAATCAAAACATGGTCTCCAAAATGCCATTGATTCTGTGGGTATATATTGCAAAAATAATAATTTTCAACAAATCACAGGAAGATCTTGGACACAGAGCAACAAAAGCACTATTCAAAATGAAACAAGTATTATACTCAGAAAATAACATCCCAATTAAAACACACCTGAAACTATTTGGCAGCATAATCAAACCAGTCCTACTCTATTGCAGTGAAGTATGGGCTAGTGATTGCATACTACAATCCAAAGATCTTCATAATAATATTAAGCTACACACCAAATTCTGTAAATATGTGTTACAAGTAACTGTAAAGCTAGTAATTTAGCATGTCTGTTAGAACTTGGTAGGTATCCCTTACTTCTAACTAGCATAAAACACTTAATAAATTATTGGCTAAAAATGAAGAAACTCTAGTCCGGGAAGCTTATGAATTTTGAATGGAGCTTGACAAAAACAATACACCTAACTGGGTAACTGGTGTAAAAAGCTTATTAAAATATGTAAATGAAAACAATGTGTGGGAGAACCAACATCTGCATAATGCTGCCTCTATAACAAAAAAGGTTATGAACAATCTCCAAAAAATATTCAAAATTAACAGTAAAAAAAATGCAGGATGACAAAAAAGGAAAAAAACAACAACAAAAAACAAATTGCGCACATACAGAATGCTCATATGAGGAGTATCTTTCAGTAATAAAAGACTCTAAACATAGATCAGCACTAACAAAACTAAGAATTAGTGCTCATGTTCTACAAATAGAAATGGGTCGCTACAATAAAATAGATGCATGCAAAAGGAAATGCCCTGTGTGTGACCTAGACGAAATTGAAGATGAAAAACATTTTCTTCTTAGCTGCAAATTATATGAAAATGAAAGAAACCAATATCAAAGCATATCTGCAAGTTTGTTTTTTTTATAATTGTTATGGTATGTTATTTTATTTTATTGTTTTTTTGTTGTTGTTTTTGTTCTGTTTTTTCATCCACACTTTATTGTAATTTAATTCAAGATCCTATAAAGGATACGATATCAATAAAGTTTAATATTATTATTATTATTATATATAACATAGCGTGTGACTACGCACAATTTAACATAGCGTGTGACTACGCACAATTTAACATAGCGTGTGACTACGCACAATTTAACAAACTTTAAAATAAACAAGTATTGGGCTTACTTCCAACTGAAACAAAATTCATCAGGTCTTCTTCCAACAACGGCATAGTCTAGACGTTCGCCGCTAATCATTGTATAATCATTACTTGGATAACCGTCAAATATTCCGCACAGTCCAAGCGTATGTTCTATATCGTCACTTGGAACAACGAGCTGCACATTCATACCCCATGATTCAATGTCAATGGTGACTGCACTACCAGAGGGCATCTGTACCTACGTAAACATTGACATTAAGTAATATTTAAATTAGTTACAGTTTGGGCGATCTATCATGCATGAAAGGAATGGAATTACATTGGCATAATTACGTTAAAAGATTAGAGTCCCACCCGGAATCACACTTTACATGTAAAGGCCAAACATGTGTTTCGGTACTCGGGACTTAGACGAAACATCATTTAGCCAAATCTACGTATAATAGTCGTTGTCCTGATATTGCAGCCAACGAATGTTTCCGCATAGCGGTCAACGTTACTAGTATGAATGTTTCCTTAAATTCACCGCCGATTGCGTGATTTCGGCCCGTGCATCTATCGGGACAGAGATCAAGTTTTTTTTCCGGCACGTGTCGACTCGGTCCCGACGGTTCAAATAAACGTTTCGACACGTGCCTAGATCCATAACGTTGAACGCCACTGGTGTTTATACTAAGTAAACGTAATTATTGTTGAAGGTTATTGGACATGTGGAGCATTCTATTCTGCAGAACAGTTCATTTCACAGGAGGGGTGGGAAAAAAAAGGTATTTTGTATTTGTTATTAAATACAATTTCTCCTTCGCTCCTGTACATTACATAAGCAAATCAGTCACATCGAAAAGAGCAATCGATGATTTGGCTGATGGTGGATGGGATCCACACACGAATATTCGCAGGTAAGGCAAATGTTCACACTTACTGTAAAGCGTTTACCGCTCTCGTCTCGAAATATTTGCACCCTTGGGGATCCGCCTATTCTCTCAAATCGCGGAGCTGTTTCACCCCAATCTCCATCACACAGGGAAATCCTTACGACTTCATTGTCTTCCCGTATAGCAACTCCACAGTTACAGTAAACGCTCCAACATTTCCAGGTCCGGACATGAACCTAAAATGTAACGAATACACTTGTACATTGTAATGTGTAACATAGACAATGTGGAACATAGACAATGTGGAACATAGACGTTGAGAATCTTTATTCCTTCTGGGGTTTATCACACACTGTTTTCTTGTGGCTATGGTTTTGCTGAATGCGAATTTCTACATTTCATACACTATAATTATATTTTCACAAAAATACACCCGAGAGCTAAAGAGTGCCCTTCGTATGTGCATTTTTTTAATTTACTACCCTGTCTCATCGTTGTCGGAGCGCTTTCCAATTGCATGCGCTTAGTATAAATTACTCTGCAAGGCGGTAACCTCAATTAGCACAACAAACAATGAAGCACCTTGGTGTAGGTGCACAACAAATGTTATATTTAATACGCACAGGACCCGCTATTCTACCCTCCCCC